AGCGCAATTATTTTTTATCTTTTCGATGCTGTTTGTTATTCGGTTTACACATCTTAATGCCAACTTTACATAATCTTTTAAATAGTTCTATTTTACAAATGAGTGATTTCTTGTAAATCATCAATTTATAGGTGGAAATGACTATATGGCTTTAGAGAAGTTATCTCAAAAACAAGTGAAATTAAGAATTTGTTTTAACAACAATATTTGAAAGTAGAGGGAAAAAATGTACCACCAGTCATACCCTTGATTCTTACCACGACACCATCAGAAGATAAACGACAATATTTGAAACTCTATAACAAAAGTATTTTTTTCGTTGTTAGTTTTTTGGTCGTGAGCACTGTCGTTTAGTTTAGGAAACCTTAATATAATTTTTAAATCTACTTTCATACTATGTATTGTTATTTTTATGATAGATTCACATTTTTTACAAAATTACCTCTATAAAAGCTTATATATTGGTGGCAATAAAAAATAGTAAATAAAAAATAAATCAAGTTAAAAAAAACTATTTTACAAGAGGTAAGTTAAATAAATAGTTATTTCAACTTTGATGTTGATTATTTTTGACAAAGTAACAGATGAAGGTTATATACAGAGTTATCACTGTAAAAATGTACCCATGAAATTTATATTTTGCATGGGTTGAATAATGTAGTTATTATTTAAAAAAAAAAAACAACTAAAATTAAGAATAAAACTTTCTACCGGTTTCCCTTGGCTGTCTCATTTTATTCCGCATATGGAGTAAAAAGGACGAGGTTACTAATTTTTGAAAAAAAAAAACAGTAAAATAACACGTATCTACAATAATGAATGGCTGGGAGTTTTACTGAACATAGTCAGATATTTGTTTTTTTATATGTTTTATTTGTTGTGATATAATTGATTTTTTATCAATTATATTATTGATTGTTCACATTATAATTGCTCAAAATCAAATTGTACCCCGCTCTACGGTATGTTAATATTTCCAAAAAAAAAAAACATTTGGAATTCAATTTGGTTTTCAAAAACGCCATGGAGAAAATATATAATAATATCTTATAAATAGTCCCATTTTACAAATAAGTGAATTGTCGTAAATAACTCATTTGTGTTTATGAACCATAAATTCCACAGATACTACAAACCAAAACATTGCTAAAAATGCGGTCTCTATATCTACTCTAATAATAATAAGGAAAGTCTGCTGATAATATTTACTTTTTGCATACCAAGATATCAGCCGCAATTAAAAAAGAACATTTTGATTGCTAAATTAAGTTTATCAAACTGAGAATGATAAATGAAAAATAATAAAATAATAAATAAGTAAAACGAGTATTGCTGTTTAAAGAAAATTTTAAGTTGCATGAGAGATATTTGAACAATTATGATACTTGTTTATATAATTACAAATCCAGAAGAAACAAGGTGTTAGTGGCATTTTGGCGTGGGTCAAATTTCATAAACTTCCTTATATGTGTTAGTCAATAATATAATAATTTTAGTTTTTAGCAATTATAAGCTACAAATCATATAAAATATTCATGATTCTACTAGCTCTATCTCTGACCTCAGCTTTTGTAGTAATACGCAAAAGTGAATATATCTTTATATCAAATAAGAATATTTTATAACAAGCAAAACTGTCTAAATGAATTTTCTTCACTACGATAAAAACTATATGAAAATTCTCAGCGTGGAAAATGTTTGATATTGAATCGCTGGCTTCTTGAAATATGTTGTCTATTATTAATATAGCCAAAGTAACATTAAACTTTATCATGAAACAAATAGAAATGGAAAAATAAACTTTATCTTTCAAACTTTTCAGAATGTATATATAGAGAATTCCAATATAAAAAGTATCACTGTTTACTAAAAACAACTTTTATAGGTAAATAATAATAAAAATAGAATAATATAGTATATTGAAAATTTACATACTTAATCTTGTAAACTCTGAATTTATAACTCAATAAGCGAGTTATACTGTTTTTTAATACATATATTAATATTTTTAGTGTTATTATAATATGAGCGTTGAGCACTTAAAAAATCTGTGAAATCAAATGAATTTCTGTTGGTGAAAAGTAAATAAAAGCAATTTAAAAATCAGTTTTACATTTAATTATAATCGAATAGTAAATTGGCGTAAACTGCCATAAAAAATTGATATGAAGTTAAAATTGATATGAAGTTAAAAATGATATTCATACAACGACAATTTGAATATTCAATTATTTCTGATGTGGAAACAATTTCTTTGTTCAAACACGCTTTGCTAAATAAATAAATAAAGATTGTTCTTTAGGAATAGCGACAGCGATGTTTATTGTACTAAATTTAAAAAGTATTATTGTTTTAATAGCCATATAAAAACTTACAAATTAACTATGATGAAAGAGAAAGAACCAATAACAAAACATATTGTTATTTTGACGATAACAATATATATTGCTTGCTATGACTGACATACAAATAATATGTGGTAATATACTCGCCTAAACTACATACACCTGTTTAGAAAATTAGTTCTATTGAAATGCCATGTCTAGTAATTTTATTTAATAACATTAGATACATGGATTATAAAAGCAAATCAATATAATCAAATTACGATCTTATGATCCACTTTTTCATTGCGTTCTAATACTATAAAATAAACTCTATAGTTTATTTATAATAATATTCTACAAATAGAGCTATAATTAAAATTTTGCAGAAAAAACTCTAGTTATGCAAATGTTTAATTTAATTTAAAGGCTTAAAACGTTTATTTTAAGAAGCCGTATTTTAATAAAAATTTATCTAGCTATTCAGTGCTCCATATTTTGGAAACATTGAGGTGTATATAAAGTTTTACTCTATAGTCTGATTTTATACGTACTTCAACATATTTTTCGCCTGTCTATTAGTATAGTAATAAAAATCTCCATATACAATAAATTAAATGCTTTAATAGAAAATATAAATTTTTATAAATAAATTTTCAGAATATATTTTCGTTTTTGATATCAAAAAGCTTTCTAATGTTTCTTTTTATGGATCAGATATATTTTATTTCCTTAACATTTTCTTAAAATTCAAAACTGATCAAGCTAAAAATTAATATGCTTTATATCCGTTATTAAAAAAACAAAAGCACCCTGAACAAATCAAATAAGAGAAGAATGTATTTGACTTTAATAAGACAAACTATGACATATGCTTCACCAATTTGGTGCATGACAAGCAAGAATAATATAAATAAATTACAAAAAATTCAAAATAAAGCCTTATTAGTATTATATTAGTTTTTTGGAAGATCAAGAAACCCAGTAAATCTACACTATATATCAAACAAAATACTACATGAAGCAATGCAAGTTCCGGAAATTAGAGAATTAATAAATAAAATCACAAAATTATTTTTTTTCAAAATGTTTAGTTAGTAATAACACAACAACTTTGTAACAAAAAATATGTTCTGGTATTCTAACTATGTGCTACCTAGTTTTATAAAAGATCTTTAGATAAAATAAATATTTCAGTTTTAATTTATCCAAAATTTTCCAACACATTTATGGTTTTGTTAGTGTTGTATAGTCCTTAAATATATGGTTTGTGGTTTTTGTGATATTTTTGCCAAATAATTAATATTATTCATATTAAAGTAATAGTTATATAAATTTATTATAGTTTAAATAATTGTTTTGTTATCATCAAATGAAGTTAGATATTCATGTTGTAAATTTATAGAATACATATATTTTTTTCATATTAAATGTAATAAAAATCTTATAAAAAACTTGATAAGGTTACCTTACTTGGTAAGGCAGTGTTTTCCAACCTTATAAAACCCCTCGCCTTAATTTTTTTTAACAACTTAGTTTCTTAAATACTTAACTGATATTATAACTTATTATCAGGCTACAAATTAATATGTAATATTATGTAAAATTAGAAATAAAAAATAATTATTTATTGGTTTATTATATTACTATTATAAAATTTTTGCTTTGTTTTCGAAAATAGTATTTTGGAAATATATGTATGCCCCTATTACAACAGTCTCAACCAGGGTGCGCGCCCCACAGATTGAAAACTATGGTAGTAAGGTTAAGCTATAGTACTTAAGTAAATTTAGAGAGAAAACTAAGTCCAAAAGTCGTGGAGAACTACATTTGAAGTAATGTGAAATTATATTGATTTTTATATTATAGTTCGGATAATTTGATAAGTAGTTGGATAATGTACCTGTAATTACGATTATTAACATATCAATAAGAATTATCATCAATTATTAATCCCTACTTTTTTGCCTTAAACTTCACTACAACACGATGACTAAGTAATTAATAAGAATGATCTGGATTTGCAAACGAACGTACGGATGTAATAAATTAGATTTCAAAAGCTGCATGTTTTCTATCACGCCACAGCCCGTATATAATTTGTTCATGTAGATGTATGTAAATACAAAGTGAAAAGGATACATGGTGGAGGTAAAAAAGTGTTGTTCGTCAAGCGTCTTATGAATAATGCACGTGCCGTGAATTACGGCGTTATAGGAATAATGTATTAGGACCTACTTTTGGCGTACGATGTGCATCGTGCCGTTGGCTCGTTTCCAATAGCAGAATCCGCCGCACTCGGGGACTATATTTAAGTTTATTGCTTTACTTTTACGATTAGAACGATCATTATCGTTGTCGAAATAGTTTGCGGCGAAACAGTTAACAGCGCGGAAAACAATGCTTGTTTAATATTTACATTATTAAATCGCTTGTTGACTCTTTGTTGATTAAACAGAACACAACTTATATCTCAATGAGGGTTAATAGCCGCAAGTATATGGTAAGGCGTGATTACAGTGACCGATTGCGAAATTAAGTAAATTTAATGTGCGCAGACGATTTTCAGGTCCGTTGAGCAATACGTTAAAAGCCAAAGACACAGCGGAAAGTAACACATGGCATTAAAATTTTATTACTCTGATAATAAATTGCAATAAATTTAATATCGCTTACCTTGTCGTCTTCACCTTCACTATCACACTGTAACAAAGAGAAAATATCTCCATTAGTAAAATATAAGTAAACGAGTAAATAAATAAATTAATAAATAAATAAATAAATAAATAAAATAAAACAAAAGTAAATATATATATTGTTGAGAACTATTACATAATAAGCAATATCTTAAGTTTGTCCCACCGCTGCCACCAAATGAAGAGATATTAATTATTGGATCTCTTGTGCTTTTTTTCTAAGGATTATTGATTTTATTTTGAATTATTATTTACTTAGTTGAGTGCTGATATTTTACTTATTGGAGGTTCAATAAGAACTAACACTCCCGCTTAATAATAACCCTTTTTATGTAATAGACCGTATTATAAGGTCTTTGGGGTCGATTTATAAAAGTTTATTATTGTTGTTAGCTTTGGTACTAAACTTATTACAAAGTTATTTTAATATGGAAACTGATAACTTGGAATACTGCTTATTACATAATAGTTATCAACAATATATACGTATCGTATATATACATATCGTATATATACATATACATATACATTAAGGATGTCCCAGAATCCAACAACAAGCCGAAGCGGAGTTATAGTATTTTCTATTATGAACTATCAAATATTTTACCATTTACAATCCTGATTAAATGCGCGAACTTCGATGGAACTTACCGAAACACTTTAGTACACATTTTTTAAGAGAGGATTTTTCAAAGTCAACCTATTTTGAAAGTTTAAATTCATAGCTTAATTGTCTTCATTTTTATCTGTGTTCAAATGTTAATTACGAATACCGACACAAACCTTAAACGATCAATAGCTCAATCTCATCAAAGCTCTAGGTTGCAAAAAAGCTTATAATTTCGAAACTACATGCATTTTTTCTATTTTTTTTTTCATGATAGTTACGATTAATACTATCACCCCTTCTCGGCTTGACGTTGAGTTCATAACATGAAACGCATATTTCGATTATAGTAGACGCATATACGCCAATAATAACAATAAACGTTACAAGCAAGCGAACCCAAATATTAAAATTTAAGGGATCAATTCTCGGATAAAATAGAATAGGTGATGTTATGTATATTACGGGTCTATCTCCATATAAGGTGTTTGTAATAACCTGTGAAAAAGCTATATATTTTCTGTGTGGTCAGATGTTTTACACATAAAACGTAGCCTGAAAAACGCAAAAATGTCAGAGAACAATTTTGTCATAAGTGTAAATTTCTGATGTCTCCAGTGCTGGATTTACAGTAGGGGCAATCGGGGCTACTGCCCAGGGCGGCAAATTTTGGGGGGCGGCAAAATTTGGATAGTGAGAAAAACATTCTGTACAATATGATCAACTATTTTTAACAACATTTTTTATTTCAAGAAATATAATTAACCAAACATAATACGATTGCAATGCAAAATTTGGGTTGAAATAACCGATAACTAAAATTTATTATTTTGTCTTGCCTCCCTCTCCATACATAAATTATCAAATTGGTTAATAAGTTATGAAATTTGGCAATTTGGCTAATATAAAGATCCGTAAACAAGCTGAAAGTTTAAGAAAAATATGTTCTGTTCTGGAGTCCTCTTAAAATGACGAATTTGTGCACTTACAAGCTTATCGCGTCGAAAAAAATTTAAACTAGTGACTCATGGCATTGTGCCTTAAGACAAATTACTGAAACATCCCGTACTGAAAACTACGTTTTATAAAGAGCTTTAAAATTTTTTGAAAAATGAAACAAAAAGACTTTTAAAACACATTTTTTATATTTTGAAATTTTTCGAAAATTATGAACTTTTTGCAAAGCAATCGCGCTGGGTAGCTGTTTCAGAGAAGAAATATCAAAACTCAATTACCATTTTTTGTAATTGCCTGTACCAAAAGCTAATCAGCATGTCTCCTCATCAATACAAATCTAATATTTTTTAATTATTCGAGTCGATTTCGAGAACACGGATCAACCGATTTAATAATTCAATCTCCTATCAATTCCTATTGATAAGGAGACGTACTGATTAGTTATTGGCTAAGGCAGGTCCAACTGTTTTGAAGATACGAGCCAAAATGCCAAAAATGATAATTCAGTTTTTGAGAAAAAAAGCGTCCAATATCATTCAAAAAAATTTACAGAAAATTTGTGGTGGGCAGGTTTAGCGGTTTCGATGATCCAATAAAAAAAATTTGAAAAAGAAACATTAGGCGGACAAAAGTGTTCATAAGACATATGCACATTAAATTATCAGATATTTTAACGATATTATGATTATGAGTATGAATGCGTTCTGTAACATTGTTTATCCGTTAGACTGCGACGCGGCGCGTACGCGCTTCTATATTGTGTTCCTACGAAGCAGAAGCAGCGCGATTGCTTTAAAAAAAAGTTCGAAAGTTTGTAAAATTTCAGGGATGGGGCGGCATTTTTGTCAGTGCCCCGGGGCGCCAAATTTCTAAATCCGGCCCTGGATGTCTCTTTGATAACATATACGTGAAGTTAGGTTCTGTGCTTCTAAAGTAAAACGTCTGATCGCGTAGTAAATACATGGCAATTTGACAGTTTGTTACTACCAACTCATACGAAGATAGGTCACAACATAGCGCTCCATAACATTTTTTTAATCCGAGAATTAGCCCCTTAAAGATTAAGTAATATACTAATGATTAAAGCTTAATCTGTACTGTTTTATGCATATTTTTGCAGACTGTATAAATACTTTGCCATATCCAATAATAGGTCACGACCGTTAAGAAGTTGCATTTAAACATGACTTTATCCTATATCCGTTTGAAAGATCTGAATCTATTAATTTATGCAAAGCACGATCTTTTGAGACAGAAACGATGTCATTTAAGTTTCTTTGTATTAATTATAGACTCATTTCGGCTTTGAAATAGAATTTGTATGTAGAAGAACAGTTTGAAATATTTACAGACAATTGCAATAAAACTTCTCATATAAATTTCAGAATAGTGAAGAGGGATCAACGCCTATACTGAGAATTTAGACATTGACTTTTGTTATTAAATTATATCTTGAAGTCAATAAAAAAAATAGGTATAATATTTTTTGAACGGTAATCAGAACTTAAAAGTTCTATAAACTATTCTAGAGGTGTCAACTCAAACAGTTGACTATAATAATGAAAAAATTTATTGATGCAGCAATGCTAGAGCAGGGCTATTTTCACTTAGTCATCTATATTTCCAAGTGAAAATTGATGTTACTACTATTTGACAACAGAATGCTCGAGGCGGGAACGAACATGGGACCTCTGATTCAGGTCCAGTCGAGGTATAACGAATAATTGAATATTGAGATAAGTATCAAAAGTCATAGAAAATTTAATCAAAAACTTTTCCAAAACTAATTAAATTTATAATAATCAATGCAAGTAACTTACGATATATCCTTTTCCGGAACTACACCGGCTACTTGCCTGTTGAAGAAGAAAAATGAAAATATAGTACAATAACTATAGATATCTAATATAATATATATATATATATATATATATATATATATATATATACGTTTATAAGTATGTGTTTATATATAATGTATATGTGTATGATTTAGAGAGTGTGTTACCTAAGTACCCATATCATTGTAGACATATTAATTACAAACATAATCAGTATAAGTAATTATAGAAGAAAATGTCGATGGCTTTTTGAACCATGTGTGTTTTGCAACAGCAATAAGGCTTTCAAAACCGCATGCAATGAGAGTGATTTATTACCTATACCAGTATTATAGTCTTGCTTACATATACAATATGCTAACGGCAATACTTGAACATTGCAAATTTATAGGTGGAAATAACTAGATGTTAATGTTTTCAAAAGCAATTTGTAAAAATAATAGAAAATAATATTATGCAAAATAATTTGAAAGGTTATTGAAGTCTATTAGAACGATGCGTTATAAGGTTAGATATGTTTCTAAATTGATTATTCAAAATTGGCCCGGCGGTGGTGTAATCAGTTCGGGTGTGAGCTAGCACAAACGAGTCCCGGGTTCGCCGGTTCGATCCCAGCAACGGCCTAGCCTGACATCAGGCAGCTTTGATGTCAAATTTCCACTTGAGGTTAAAGATCTCAAATATAGTCTCAAGTGAAAATCGGCTATTGTGGGTAACGCTGTATATATAATAAAATGTCAACTGAATTGGGAAACTACTAGGTTTTCATTCTTTCAAAAACACATACAATAACGCAATATACGATTACAGAATATACTATTAGGACAGGTTGTAATTCGATGTATAACAAAAGAAATGATCATTTAAAATATACTTTTACTACATTTAATTTAAGAACTTGACTAAAGCATACATTGATAGTGTAAGCTAGATATAGTATTTCTAAAACTACGATAGAAAACCAATGAAAATTAAATTCATTTCGCATATCGATTTTTGTGCATCGGATTCCCATTTCCCGGCACGTGGAATTACATTAGTTCCAATTTAAAAAATTGATTATAAAGTGCTACAAGTAGAGAGATAGTGCTAATATTTGTATTTTTTGTACAATACATGTTAATAATTGCATTTATATTAAATATAAAATATTACAATAAATTTATAAAATAAATTACATACGAATACACAACAAGAATCTAAAAAAAGTTTTATCCCTTGCAATATTGTAAAAACTTGTAAGCTCATAAAGCTTAAAGCTTTAAAGGTAGTAGTAAGCGATCTATTACGTCCCACATGTGCACGTGCCAGTGATTTAGATTGACATACTATATAAAATAAGGAAATAATCTTGCTCTCATCATACCATTTGAATTTTTATTTCAACGCTGCTAAATTTCTCATGTATTTAACACTAAATTACTCGACCATAAAACAACCGAGAAACCACTCAAATTCTGTAATGAAACCGTTTACAAATTTGTTTTTATTTCAACGCTCATAAACATTTAATTACAACCGGGAAATGATTCTACATTTGTTTCAAAATAATGAAGAAATTGAAATCAATATTAAAAACTAATATTGTGGTCCTACATTTTAGGTCTCAAATGTGATCATATTAAAATGGCGAAATTGTACCAAAAATGTAACAATTTTTTTCTCTTTTTTTTTAATGATCATCAGAACATAAATAAATTCTATAAATTATTTTGATTTACATTATTTACATATAATAATATATAGTATTTTATTTTACTCCAGTGGGTAATTACTATTTGATACAACTCATTGGATCAAATTAATAGGCCATAATTGAATGTAACAAATGATTATATAAATTATATCTAGAAAACTGTGCAAAAACCGGTTTTCCAAAATATCAGTTAAAGAAGATAATAGATAAAAAAATGTTAATTTTATTGTGTATGTTATGAATTTACTGGAATGTTATACCAAAGATTAGATAAATTAAGAAATAGATAAATTGAAACAAATTATTTAGATCTTTTATATTGCAAAATAACACCGAACACACCTTATTTAAGATTAACTTATAGAAAGTAGATTAAAAAACGTTATATAACGATAATTTATAGATCAAATAGATCTTCAATAGATTGATGGTTTAAAATTATAAATAAATTAAGAAATTTCAATGGCTGTGATAGAAGTTGATTCAATACAATTGGAGCAACACGTAATAATTTTATGATTATCAAAGGTCATTATATCAAACATCTTTAAATAGAAAATTTATCTAATCATTGCTATAGAAAGTGAGTTCACTTGCACAATAATGAACAATACAACTGTTTCTTTTATATACTCATGCTATGAATTTTCTTTTAAATTGTTATGTAACTGTGATTTTAATATATTACTATAACCAGAAGCTTAATGACAATTAGTAAATTTTAATATTTGCTATTTAAAATTATTTATATACTTTCTTTATGTATTGATGTAGTTTCAAATAATAGAAATGAAAATATAAGCGCGAAAATGTTTTTATTTATGAAATTATTAATCAATAGTTTTATCATTATCAAAGGTCATTATATCTTTAAATAGATAATTTATCTAATCTTTGGTATATATTTCAAGTAAGTTCATTATATCATCAAATATAATGAATATCATTATATCAAACATCTTTATATAGATAATTTATTTAATATTTGGTATGGCTTTCAAGCAGGTTCACTCTTACAAAAATAGAAAATGCAACTGTTCTTTTATATGCACCGTTTGTGTAATATCTTTGAATTAATAGATTTGATTGATTGAACTGCCATTTTAATATATTACTAATTAGTAACATACACTTAGTGCCTTATTTGTAAACTTAAATATTTGCAATTTATAATTATCAGTGCGGAAATGATTTTTAGTAATAATAATATACCGCATAAAAATGAGCAGCAAATTCAATTAGAAACCTACGATTTAGAATTATATCATTATTTCTTATAAATAACTGAGTTGTTATTCCTGTCATAGTAAGCTTTCAACATGAATAAGATTTTCTAAGCCTACAACATAACTGTCTTTTGATGTACGATCGTATATAATAATAATTGATGTGGATGTGGATGTGGTATAATTGTGATTAGTACTTACATCACTAAGTCTATCTCTGGAGCTGTCTGGATCTCGAGGAGCGACTGATGAACCAGTCAGACGCAACGAAGCTCTTCCGCTGTCATCAGAAGTGCCTGCATCCAGTGAACGAGCAAATTCCTGGAAATCGAATTACAAATATGTAATAAACGACATATGGATTACAAATATGTAATAAATGCCTAAAACTTATATAGGGTAATTAAAAAATATTTTTGTTAGGTTTTGATGCATTTTTATAATATTTTTTGTATTTACAGAGCTTTTTCTGCATTTGGAAAATGGTGGCAGGTTAAAGAGGGATTAGAGTCATTATAATCACATGTGCCTCAAAGATTTGTAAGAAATTGCAATAAAAGTTGCATAAATATATTCGGCCAAAAACTCGTTTATCCGGCCCTCAATTATACGGATTCGTGATTATCCAGCGACCAATTTATTTATTTTAAAAATATAGCCGACAGAACAGTTCAAAGAGGACTTAAAATGCACTTAATAACACTAAATTACATAATACAGAATGTAACAATATTCAAAATTACTTAGAATAAGATAAAATAATAAAAGATATTCGAAAAGAAATGAAAAGGTTAACTTGAGCAGATGGAGATTATTTCATGAAGTGAAGGGTTATGAATATCTATAGTCATTGTTGATTAAGTTAAAGTTAGAAGACATAAGTGAAATAGGTGAATTTAAGAGAGAATTAGATTTAGGAGTAGGACGAATAAAAAATAATTTATATGAACAATTCGTGATATAGCAGCAATAAAGAGAAAAAATCGCTTACGTCAAATGACAATTGCCACATATTTTAAATTTAAATTAAATTTTAAATTTAAACCAAATTGAACTTTTTACCTAATTATTTGATGACTACCAAATACATATTATAAACAAATTATTATATTCGTACATAAGTACCTAAATATTTTATTCCATGATTAATGATCCAGATTTGTATTATGTATTTGTATTAAGTGTAAATAAATATGTATGTACATACATAAATGCTAATTTCTTAATAAATGTTGATTTCGTTGATAGTCATGTATTTGTAGTTTTTAATGAACACAATATTATTCTTCAGATTTTCGATTACCCGAATGCCTATCGACAACTATTAGTCTGGTTAATCAAGTTTCTCTATAGTGGCAAAAACGTTATATTAGTATGCTTCCTTTCTTTTTGCACAGGGTATCCCAGATCTCAACGTCAAGCTGAAACGTGATAATAGTATTGATCATAACCTTCATGAAAACCATTTTTAAAAAAAAATTCTCACGATGCTTGAAAAATATGAGCTTTTAAATGTAACCTAGAGATTTCGACCATTTTATGGTTAACGGTGGTTAATTTTTATTAATTTTGTTTATTTAAGCTTTGGATCTGTAATCGCAAATATTTTTAACCATTTCTAGGACCAAGATAAAAAATAATAATAAATTGCTCCAAGTTATCAAGAATTAAGATTTTTTTTTGAACCATGAATATAAAATTTTCAGAATTGGTCAACTTTGAAAAGCCCTTTTCAAAAAAAATGCCCTAAAGTGTATTGGTAAGTTTCATCAAAATTGGCGCATTTGATATTTTCAAAGTAAAAAAATGAGTATAAAATGTTATATACTAAACATTACAAACAATTACGACAATCTACATGTTCGTTGAAAAAATAAAAAAAATTGTAAAATACAAAAATACGCATTTATATTTTAAATTGTCTATTTTCTATCATAATTAAAAAAGTGATCCTCAATAATGACAAATATATCCTGAGATTTTATAGATCATGGTAGTTACGCACATGTTTTTTTAAAATATCAAAATGATTTGTACTATCAATAAATATAAATCTATATTTAAATTTCAAATACTTAATTGGGATTATTATTATTACACAATAACAGAACAAACTGTTATAATGTTATAACTCAATAAATAAGATAAGTAAATATTTGTATAAGATTTCTATGATAGAATCTCTAGATCTATAGCATATCTGAATTTCTCTTTTAAAAAAAGTAATTGTTGAATTAAAATGTTTCAAGATCAAAATTTTATTAGTTGGCTATTAAAAACTGTAACCAAACAAGTACATGATTTATTAGTAACTAAATTACCATAATTCAAACATGATTTATTAATAAATTTATTACTTATAAAATATTATTACAATCAAACGTATTTTGCGGTTTACCAACTCAATGTTGACGTTATAAATAATATTTTATTCAAATTACTCTGAATTTGATTTATGCTTTGAAGGTATAAATTAATCTAAAAACGCTATTGAAACTGCCTCCTCTGCAACTGACATTTATAAAACCAACATCGGAAATATATAATTAAAATTAATTGAATAGTTATATAAACCATAATTAAATGTAATGATCAATAGTAGCATTTAATAACTGATTTCCATTAAAACTGATTTTAATTTTAAAACATAAAAACACGTAACAAATTATGATTAAAATTAATATGCCATAAATCATTTATGGTAAATAAACCCGTAATATGTAAATTTTAATTAGTTGGTAAAAAACTGAACAGGCTTTTAAACAGATGAGCATCTTAATAAAACGAGTAAAAAATTAATTTGTTATACATATGAATATTCAAACTGCACATTTATAACCACGTCGGTTAAAAGTGAAAAATAAATATTTATAGTTAATGATAATACATAAATCTCATATATATAGTTATTCTTTTTTATAAATTTCTACGAATTTTTCTGTCTCTGATCTTTATATTTGAAACACAGGTTCATAAAAATAGAGAATACAAATAAAGATACTTTGTATAAAGGCCAGAAAGATGATTCAAGAAAACTTGGACCACGTCCAATGTTTTGGAAGAGTCCCAATGTTAATTGATCAGTTTAAATACTTACAAACTTGTACAAAAAGGCATTTGCAAGAATTGTGAAATATGTATTCAAATAGAGCCATATATAAACATGAGAATAAAGAAATGAAGTTAACTAACTATTTATTAAAGGAGACTAAATTTAATCTTCTAAAATATTAATAAAAATTAATTACAATATTTATTGATATAGACTACATCAACAAATTAATTTTTAAGTAATTAATTTTTATTAATGTAGAGAAAATTAAATTTAGTTCACTATCTACTTGTTAGTTATCTACATAATGTAGATAACATTACCATATGTTTGTAATTTTTTCTAATCATAAATATTTAAATAGGTCATAAATATAATTGTTTCATACATTTTGTTGTGCTTTAAAAGAAGTTTATTATGTTTTCTATGTAGGGGAAATATGGACAAAATGGTACATATCAATTTTATTGCGTTTATCAGGTGTTTTATGAAATTTTTACTATTTATTCATTTTTGTTCCCTTTCGAACAAAATAACATACTTATACAATGAACAAAATGACTTGCAATGAATTCTGCAAGAGCTACAGAATAGATCATTTGAGATAAAAAAAAGAATATTAAGTCAAAGGTAATTGGCTTTTAACTTCTACTCTACTGACTGACCAAAAAATTCCCCGGTAAAAAAGGGGTTTGCATTGGTTCTCTTTGGGCTCATGCATCATGTTCTGATACACCAAAAAGGACCAAAAGATTATTTTGTAAACTTGTGAAAAAAATTTGCACCTCAATATATCCTTACCCTATGTCTAAGTTCATAAGTAATGTCCATATAAATGGACATTGGATAATATGAACTTGGACAAATTATGGACAAAATGGGTTTTGTAATTGGTTGCATTTTTCCTTTATAAATATGTTAATTTTTCCTTTATAAATATGTATAGTTCGTACTTAATTATAAGACTGTTTCTGGTATTCAATGAACCAAATATTGAAACTCACAATTAGTTATGAATTGATACTAATAAATAAATATCATTAAAAAACAAAACACCGTGTAATTTTGTCTGTACTTCCCCTACATGTTTATTAGTTCAGTTAATATCCTATATAACATTCAGATAATATCTGGAAACTTTCACTAAACGCAATTCGTCTAGCATTTTACGAGATCATTTTTCACTGGTGGTCGTCATAAAATATCACTTGAGATACGACTTACAAGTACTTTTAACTTTTTATTTATTTAACCCGGTATAGTAAAAAAACATTCCAGACAAACAAAGGCAATCGAAATTATTTTATGATAACAAATTAAATCCTGATAAAAATCCGTATGCCAATTAGTGGGCGTTCATTAATCACGTGATCGCTTTTTAAGGATTTTGGGCCCCTGTACCTTGGTGATACTTAGTGATATTTAAATTCATCCCCCCCACCAAACATCACGTATATTTTTAGTACCTAGAAAATATCGTGTTTTTTTTTTATTTTTTTTGAAAAATTTTGGATTTTTGGATTCACCTATCCCTCGCTTTACACCGTGTAATTCGAAAAATTCACTTAAATATGAAAAAACTGTGCTAAAGTTAAATCTACTATAAAAAAGTCCTTTTTGTCAGTTTTTAACATGATGAATAACAAACACATTGAACGAAAAAGGAGTATTAATACGTACATTCAATATCATTAATAAATTTACGCTATCAATTATATATAAACACTAATTAAAAGAAAAGTTTGAAAACGATGATGCTCTTTAGTTTTGGTATTTCAAACGAACTAGCTTATACACACATAAAATTTAGTTTTGATCATAAAACGGGGAGTTCCCATCTTATCTACAGATTTCCATGATAGACATAGACTACTAAGTAACTGTAACATACATTTTAGAGCTGTTTTAGCGATCTAAGCGCGTAAGCGCCGCGTCGTAGTTTTACGTGTAAGCATTGATACAGAACCCATATAAATGTACGCAAAATTTGCACTTATTATTATAATCTCTATAAAATATCTGAGCATATGATGTGCATATATATAATGATGATATTTGACCGCCAAATGGCATAATTTTTTACTTTTTTATTGGATCTCTGAAAACGCTGGACCTGCCTTCCCAAACATTGCACCAGTTGTTCATTTCGTTAAAGTAAAATGTTTTTTTGAATTACTCAAATTAGACGCTTCATTCTCTCAAAAACTGAAAATTAGCATTTCCCTCATCAATAGCAATCGAATGTTTTTTGTATTATTTAAATCGGTTG